CACCATTATGGCCGCAGCGGAGACAGTGCAGTATATACACTAGTTCAGTGGTCTTTAACCTTTTTGGACTCGCGACCGACCCAATTTTTTAGGCCTGCATTTTTCGCGACATACGTAAGCTTTGTAGAAAAACAAAAAAAAAACTACAATTGCTTAATGCTTTGTGGTAAGTAGTACTATGATCACTAAATAAATAAAGATTGCATTTTAGTAGGTTAAAATATTAATTAATATTTATGTGGGTATTAAGTCTCTCCAGTAGTAGCCTTTCAAGCACCTTGCCGGCACCGTCTAAGAGACTGATCGGCCGATAGCTTGAGGGGAGGTCTCGCGACTTACTCTGGCCCTTGTAAAGGAGCACCAACTTCGCCTGCTTCCAACAAGTAGGAAATTCACCCTTTACAAAGCACGCATTATAACACTCAACTTTCGATGTCATCTTGTCAATCATCGTGTCTTCACTGAACCCGCCCAGTTCCAGCATGACCTCAGTCCTCTCGTCAGACCAGCCGCGGCACTGGAACATTGTATGTTAAAAGACATCGACGCCATCGATACATTCAATTGGCATTAAAAAGTAGGATTAGAAGAGATTTATTGGTTTGCGAATTATTCATTTTTTATTTTCGAGTAGGGATGAAATTATTTGCGTAAGGAGAGCTATTAACGGGCTTATAAGAGTTTTAAATTCATTTATAAAATTAGTTAAGACGTTATTATCTGATTGAGGTGAACATTGTCATAATTTTGTTGATTTCGGGTGGCTTGAGCAAATGATTTTGGCATTTGATTATTATTTTCTACTTTTGAAGAAGTGGGAGGTAATGGGTGGCTCATTTTTACATTATCAGTATTAACGACTGGATTCATATTAATATTGTCATGTAAAAATTTACTTTTTGAATTGGATTTTTTCCGACGTTGCAACTCTTTGAAGACGGTGAATCCCCTGTAGTTGGCTGGATGATCTCCAGCACAAAGAGCGCATTTGGCTAGCAAATCACGTGGTTTGGAGCAGTCCGAAGAGGAGTGTAGAGCACCGCAGTAAACGCAACGGGCAGAGTAGCTGCAGTAGGCTCAGGTATGGCCATAATCCTGGCAGTTTAGACATTGTGGAATTGTGCGATGTTTGTATGGTTCTTCACCTTAATTTTTGCGTATATCAGTGAAGTTAATTTGAATATTTCTGTAGATTTTTCAGATTGTGGTAGGTCTACGAAATATAATGGAAGTGGAAGTTTAGTGGTTTTATGAAGTCCTTGAGTTATTTGTTGTACTTCGAATGAGAGATTTATCAGTTCTTTTTTTATTTCATTGACTGTGGTTGATGGATGTAAATTTCGAATGATAGCGCGAATAGGTTTGTCTTGATTAAGTTGGTAAGTATGAAAAAGGGCACCATTATTTTTTAGGTAATGTACTAAGAGCCTGTATGCCTCTGGTGACGCAGTTTGTATTTTTAGTTGGTCAGTTGATGATTTACAAAAGAAATTTTCTTTACCAATAAGTTGACTAAATTCGATGCAGAGCCTATTATACTCCGTAACTCCTCTTATGAAGATTGGGAGGTAGTATAAAAATATGAAATAAAAATTAAGATTTTATAAAACATGAATATAACTACTTTATTACAATATATTCATAAACAAAATCTAAAATCTTCTATTCTTTTATGTTTATTATCTTTTGTTTTAAATAATATAATTTACAAAAAGAAATACAAAGTGATTATTCTAAAAACTATATATGATAATGGATTAAACTTTATAAAATATTAAGTGTAGGTTGATTTTTGTTGTACCTGGATTTAAGTACTTTTTAAATTTCCTTTACAAGTAATTGTGTATATCCTATATTCTGTTAAACCTTCGTATATATGATACATAGTGTCCTGCGCTAAAACCTATGGTTCCAAATAATTTATATCTGTGAATAATTAAAACATTTTTAAAATAATACATTTGTATTTTCACGCCAAATTATTGGTTTTTTTTCTTATATATAATCTTATAAATTTAAAATTACTATAATCAGAGTTTTTGTCCTATTAATGTAATAGATTTTTACTTTTGATTATGATTAAAAATATAAATTTTCATATTTTACGACTTTCATTTGAAAACAGTATAATCAAAGTTTATTAAGTATTAAACTATACTTTCAGATTTCCTTCAACGTTGATTTCTGTGGGAAAATCTGTTAAAATAAATGTTTTATTTTCTGAGTAGGAATCAGTTTCAATTATTAAATGTTCTTGCTTACTTATTGCCATAACATCATTGCACTTTGAACACTCTTGAACTTTTTCTTTTGAATAATTTTTCAATTCATATTCTAGGATTTAAATTTATTACTAAACTTTAAAATGATTGTTGGGCATACATATTTTATTGATTTACATTTCAGGTTAGGACAATTAATAAATTCAATTGCTGAGGGGACATCTTTTAGTAAGGAAGTACAAATGAAAAGGACATTACATTCTGTATTTATCAAAGTAATATCAGTAACACCTTGGTCTTCCGTAAACAATTTCTTAAGAATATTTATTCTTTCTTTATATGTATCAAGAAGTGGAACATCTGAAGCCAAATTCTTGCAAAAACGTAAAACTGTATTTGTTTGTTTTTCAACAAATTTTTTGTATGAATTGCTGTCTATATATGCTATAGTTATAACTAAAGCGCGGATTTTTATGCACTTAAAAGTATCGAAATATGCCATATAATATGCAGTAAAAATCATGAAAATATGCAGTCAAAATTATAAAAATATGCAAGAATTTTTTATTTATTTAAAATTTACAATAAAACTTATAATAATTAATTACTTAAATACTTAATAATAAAAAATTTAGGGAATTTTCTAAACTTAATTTATTTTTAAAATTGTATTTATTATTAAAATGAATAATCATATGCATTTCAAGTTTTTCTTCTGTGAAGCTGTATCGTTTATCGGTTTACATATTTTTAAAGACTGAGAACGAACGTTCGACGTCAACCGAAGTTATTGGGGCATATTTGAAGCAACTTAGTATTATCGGATCTTGATAAAGTTCTTTGAGCTGAACGTTTTCGCTTAATAACACTGAATTAATTTTTCGTAGAATTTTCAGACCTTCATTTTTATTGGAAAGCTCGTTTAATTTTGTTGTAAGTGTTACACCTTTCGATCCAGAAATAGAATGCATTTTTTCTTTCGTTTCGTCAATTATTGAAAAGCTTAGATGTAAAGTTATATTTCGAGTTTTCAGTTTTTTTTATGACTATCACTAAAAATGCCAAATGAGTAGATATAAATGTTAAATCATTCTACTTGTCAAAATATTATCTTATACACTTTTTTAAATTTTTTTAAATTTTCGCTTCAATATGCAATAAATTTTGAATTTTGCCAAAATATGCAAAAATATGCAATAACCTTTAAATATGCAGAAATATGCAAAAAAAGATTTCACCATTAGCTTCAAATTATGATGATTCGTGGAGATAACTGACAAAAATCCAAAAATATTAAAAGGAAAAAAATATGCAATTGCATAGAAATCCGCGCTCTAGTTATAACAAAAGCTACTGAATCGAACGGACACGTGTTACTAATCAAATATCGCTTTTTATTCATTCGTAGAGGTGTCTTTAAATTATCATTTAATAATAAACTTTCGTGCTTAGACCTTATGTTTCTATCACATAAAACTCCTGAGGGTTGCATACACTTTGTGAGTCTGCTTTTCGACTTACAATTCGTTTTTTTAAGATCACTATGTATAAAATTATTGGTTTCACTAGTTTTATTTTCAAGCATAATTTGGGAATTAGCAAATGTATCAATGAATGCAATTATATCATTATCGTTTGATATTGAAGAGTAACTTAAATTATCAAATAAGTTTTTGCTATTTTTATATTTGTTTCAGACTTAATTTTTGTAGCAGTATTCTTAGAATTGGTACATATTTTTTGTTTTGTGTTGTTCCTTTTCAATGTTAAGCTTGTAATTGGTTCCTCTCCTTTACCACCCCAATTTTCTATATCATCTGAAGATGATAGTAAGAAATCATTATACACACAATCAATTTCAACTGACGACAGAGAAGTTGTTGGACTTTTATTAACCCTTTGAATAGGTACCAATTTTAAATACTTCGATTTAATTTTTAATTTTTTTAAAAACGAAATTAGAAGACTTTTATTAACTTAAAACCAAATCTTGTTGTTAAAATAAAGCGGGTGGACATTTAGGGGAGGTGGGACACATGTGTCCCTTTGTTTAATTATTGTCGGGACTTTTATGTCCTAGTAGTGTTGGAATAGTGGGACTATTTTCCTCAGTGGTATTGAATGAGTGTAACAAATATACCAATGGTTGAGGAAAACTAGGATAATTGTTCATTTATATTTATAAGTACGAAAAAATATAAAACATTATTTTAATTTTATTATCACAGTATTATATTTTATTCTTATTATTATTTATCAAAATTACATAATATAATAGCTAGCTAAATTGATATTTTCGAAATAATATAATTTATGAAGTATGGTATAATGTGAAACAGTTTTTGCATAGTGGTAAATTGCACATTTGACACATTTGCTTAGTCCGGGTTTCTTTTTTTTTTCATTGAACACCTCGTACATTTTCGTCTAGTCATGACTTCGGCAGGTAAATGATCTCCAACATTGATCAGTGTTCTCGCGATCTTTGATGGCTTTCCACTGTTTCTCCTATGTTCCCTACACAATTTGCCTTTCCTGTTGCCATCATTTGTTCAGCCAATGGTACCAAGAATTGTAGTAGTCTGGTTTTATTTTCGTTGACTTCATTGTAGAGGATTCATGCATTTACTACCGCTTACATCAATAATTTGTAGAACACCTTTTTCCACCAGTTCGTTGACTTACGGCTGCAATCGTACACACTCACTTTTTGGTCTAATAGATCTACTCCGCCCATGATTTGGTTATAAAAAATAATAGAATTTGAACAAGACACTTTCAATTTGTTTGCTTAGGAGTAATTTCTCCAACAATCGGTATATGACAGTTGCTAATTACTACAAAATCCTTACTATCTTGCCATCTTGCTGCTATCAATCCATCCGAACAACTGCGAAATTGATGATCACCTCTTTTTAATTTGCCTTCAAACTTAGGCACGTTTTTGCGATTCATAATACATGTACCAAGAGCAGGATATTCTATAACTGTGAGAAGCTGAATACTTGTAAAAAATCTGTCAAAATCAAGTACTACATTAGGTTCACGAATCGTATCAGCCAATTTCAAAACTACTCGTTGCCCCAGCATTCTATTGTTAGTGTCATTTGACTTGTTTTTTTCACTATAGTTGTTGAAATCATAGGCATATCCAGTGATGGCATCACAGCGCTCCCAAATCTTTATTATACGTTTTATAGGTTTGAGAGGCATATACTGTTTCAAACTAGATCTACCTTTGAATTTTGTCATAGATTCGTCCAAACTCTGAAATGAGCTCTCTCCTCGGGCATTCAAAATGTATGCTTCAAACAATTTACGATTTCGTCAATGTAATACGTTTTTGGAGCATTTGTAGGTTGCTTTGGGTGATTGAAATATATTTTTGACATCAATAACTGAAACCTATTACGCGAGATTCCCATTTTTATATCTTGGTTCCCCATAGATGGATTTTGGGACCAATAATTGTACACATTAGGTAATTTATTATAAATCATTACAAGTAGGCAACCAAGTATTAGAATTATTTCACTGGAGTCTGAATCTCGAATTTCATCTTTAGTTTTCTTCTTTTTATCTCTTAGTATCTGTAAGCGTTCATTTGTGCATTGACTTATAAATATGTATAAACTACGTGGAAACATTTTTTGAAAATTTTTCAATTGTGAACAACCAGGTTCCAAATCAATCAATACTTTAGGTTTACGGTCATCAGGTATAGAAAGTCGTTAGTTGAAATTACCTGAAAATAAGGTTATTATTTAAGATCGTAAAAGAAGGACTGAATTTCTTGTTCTTGATAGAGTAACGTTCTCGCCGTAGAACTATCGAAGGGTGTAGTAGAATCTAACTCTTCTGTTTCTGGTGTTTGAGTTTGTTACGTGTCGTTGTTACGGGTAATGTTAACATTTGGATAATGTCGACATTATCTGGCTAATGAGACATTAGCCAACTGTCATCATAAGCCGCCATGAATATTGGCTAATGTTTTAACATTAACCGGGTAATATTACATTAGCCAAGAACTTTTGGATAATGTCTTAACAACCATAAAAATGTATCATACATGAGATGCAATAATTTTAATTTTTAACAACGTAACCTACTAATGATACATAATGTGTTATCCTTTATTATTGCACGGCATGCTTTCGTGACATTTTGAATTGCACAAAATGCTAGATGCTTTACATTTACATCGATTGGTGTCACATTTTCCCTTACATGAACACCTTTTATATCCTTGATCACCACCATCTGACATTTGACTCGTAATTTCCCTCAATGATTTTTCTACGTGTACCACCTCATCAAGCGGTATTAAAGTTAACGGACAAACACTTAACTGATTTCTGGTGTATAATTGTGGCAAAGTACCATATTTATTGTCAAGTTTATAATATTGCCCATCCTCAATTGACACAACTGCAAATATAATATTTCTCGGGTCTGCTCGTCCTCTGTCGACATCCGGTAAAGAGATTCTCACACTGTCTTCAATGTTGGCTTGGGGGAATTTATGGATAGATCTAAATTTCATTTTTTCAGCTTGGTTCAGTAAACAAATTTCAGATTTTTTCTATTATTTACGATTGATTTCTGTAAAAAATGAATTATTAGTTATTGGGAACAATATAGGTAATTTAAAATAACAATATCTTACCTGTCTTGAGTATATTAAGTCACATAATCCTTCATCCTTCGATGCTTTCGAACAACAATTTTCATTCACCACTTGAACATTATTTTTTTTATCCACGCCTTTGTTTTCGTCTTCTTCATTGATATTGTTTAAAAATATTTCTAGATCAACTTCAGTATTGATTTCATCAACGGAATCGCTAGGAAAACGTGTAGTCAAACCAACTCTCATATCTGTTCCAAACATTGCCTCGTACGGTAACCTAAAGTTATTTCGAAAATATGATAATTAAAGCTCAAAAGTTAGGGTATGTTATGTTAAAATTTCACAATAAAAAAATATATACTGATAAATATTTAAATATTAATTTTAAATTACCTTTGGATACCAGAATGAAATGCTTTATTCTTCATTAGCTGCACAAATCTCAGTCCTTCTTTTCATGATTTGACATTATTAGTTGCATGCAGGTTATCAACATATTTTGTATGTCTTGATTAGCTCTTTCCACGCTACCCTGACTTTGGCTATGGCGTGGTTTACTATGTACTATTTTTAACGCAGGCCACATAGTTTTCAAGTCATTTGTAATTTTATTGACAAATTCTCGCCCATTGTCGGATTGTAAAATAACCGGTGCTCCAAAAATACAAAATATATCTAAAATATTGGTCGCTCGCCACTTCTTCGGCCGTTTTTGACTTTAAAGTCCGTAACTGAACAAATTTTGTTAAATGATCTTGGTAAACCATAATAAAACGAAATTCTCCATCTGCTTGCGATTGCATGTCGATCAGGTCAACGTGACAACGAATATTCATTTCTGAATGAATAATCGGTTTAACAAGGTCTTTAAGTTTAGATGACAGTTTTGTTTGACAAGGTCCGAAAAATTTTAAAAACAGAAGAACAACTTTTTGAGTTAAATTTTTGTATTTTTTTTTTATTTCAGCCATCATTTAATGCTTACCACCATGACCAATATTGAGATGTATTTCATTTAGTATGTCATATAATTCATCATTTTTTACGTAATATAGTAAATTAGTATTACCTTTTTCGACGGGTGCTATAAGTTTCTCTTCTCCTCCGATATTAATAATTTCAAATTTGTTCAAACGACGAGATTTATTGCCGCCTTTCAATTCATTTATTATATTTAAATATTTTTCATTTGACATATAAGATGAATTATCTTCTCTTTTTTGAGAATAAATTATAAAATTCCGTTTTTGTTTCCATTTTATTTGAATTTAATTAAGACACTTAACACTGTAGGTACTGTAAATTACTGTAAATATCACGTGTGAAAACTTAAAACAGACTAACAACAGATCGACGCTCTACGTTGTGTTTTGTACAACATATACAATTATAACAAAAATGTCGTGAATTAAGATAAATATTAAGCCCATATATATTGTTCACTTCATCGGTAAGATAAAGTATTGCTGCGCTATATTATAGCAGGTTGTTAGAACGATAGAAAAAAAAAATTAAAAGACTCTGGGTTTTAAAGTTCGAATATATTACAACGGAAGCACAGGTGCGTAAGGCGCTAACACGACGCCACGACACAACGGATCACGACGGGGGAGGGGGTTTATCGGACAGTGTGTCGACCGATGCAATGCCGGAATTACTCTGACTATTGCACCACAAGGTAGGTGACCGATCGATGCAATGCCAGAATAACTCCAACTATTGCACCATTGATCGAGTCACAAACCGTTCGATAAGTGTGGTCTGGGAGACCGCTTTTCCTACTTTGCGCAAGTCTGCCCAGGTGGGTCTTACTACAAAGTCGGAAAGTCGGAGAATGGTAGTGATGGTCGTGTCGTGGGGCTTTTTATACCAGGTCTATCGGCAATTATACCGGGTCGGTCCCGTGTTCTATGACAGAAACATGAGAAGATACCTGGTGAATCAGTGATTACACCAAGTCGGTCTCGTGTTCTGTGACAGAAGGCACGAAAACTCCAATCGTTAACTGCCGATAGACGTACAATTAATCGGGATAAGTGCAAATGTCCATAATCCTCCACGCATATTATCCAAATCATAATCCAGATAACATGTATAGAAAATACAAACACCTGCACTTATCGCGCACGGCGCAGACAATAATAAGATAATACATTTTCCATCTCATGCAACGAAAAACAATATTATAAAATAATATAATATAAAAATAATACAGAAATAAGAGTATGCGTAATCACAGGTATACCTACGATTAGCTTCAAACTCGTAATTCAAGTAATCTACAGAAAAACGGATCTAAATGTGTAATCCATAAAATATAAAATTATTATATGTGTAGATTACACTTGGACCCACTTGGTATAAAGAAATAGAATTCAGTTTTCAGTTTTAATATTATCCAATGTTGACTGGCTAATGTCGACATTATCCGGATAATGTTAATATTTCATTAATATAAACGAAAAATTACACATTAACAAAAACGCATGGCTAATGTCGACATTATCCAAATGTTAACATTACTCGTAACAAATACATAGACTTAACAATGTTATTTACAGCCTATTTACAAAGCAGTAAATGACCCTACACCAGTGGTCGGCAACCTTTTTACCTACACGGGCCATAATTTGTTTCAGTTTATTATGGAGGGCCGCATACAAAATTAAAATATTAAAAAATATAATTTTAACATAGGTATAATACTAATATACTCGTATTTACAGATAGCAACAAACATATTACGAGTTTAACATTGCGGTTGTCCTTATTAACTAATTTTTAATTAAATACATTAGTAGAGAAAATTTAAAAGTTTAAAAATAATTATTAATTAATTCTTGAATGTATTTTAGTGTACAAATATTCAGTTACTAGTGTGATTTTTGAGGTTAAATTTTTCCCGCCAATTCGTTTATAAACGCGTTTATATTGGATGTTGATATCCTTAAAACAGCATTCAAGTGTTCATCGCTTAATCGTGAACAATATTTATTTTTTCGAAATTTAAGTATTGAGAATGTCTGCTCACAAATATATGTGCTACCGAAAGCAGTAATCATTTTTTTAGCAAAACTTTTAATGCCTTTAAAATCTATTTCAGAAAGACTTGAATTAAATTTTTTTAGGTCATTACTTTCTTTAAAAGCATTTTTAAGAATATCGTTGTTTTGCAATTCTATGACTTCCATCTGTAAATTAGATTCAACATCGTCAGTGTCGACAGAAAAAGGGTCTTGAAACAATTTGATTTTATTCTCTTGTACGTAAAAATCAGAAAATCGTATTGAAAATTCATTTTGTAGGTTTTCAATTATATTTAAAAAATTAATTTTTTTAGTTTCCTAATTTAAAGTTGATTTGGTTGATTCTAATACAATTTTACAACATACGAAATGAACCAAGTGCTGTTCATTAATATGTTTGTGTAATAATTTTAATTTCACTTGAAATGATTTTATATTTGAATACATATCTGACAATAATTTGTCTTTACCTTGCAGTTTCGTATTCAGTTCATTCAATAAAGTTGTGATATCAGTTAAAAATGCCAGATTAAGAACCCACTTTTCATTTGATAATTCTGGTACATTTTTACCTTTTT